AAAAAAAAAAAAAAGAAAAAAAACTCCATAAAAGAGATTAAAAAACTCCACAAAATGAGACTAACAAATCTAAAAAATATAACAACACACCTACAAACAATTAAATATAACCTCCCATACTTCTCGTTGGCACACCGCTACGGCCACCCGAACAAGCACACGAGTGAATCCCACAAAAGAAAAAAAAAAATTAAAAAATTAAAGCCCAAAGAGAGCGGCAAATTTGATATTCCAAAAACAAAAACCGCAAACTTACCCAATCACCTAATCAAATCTGGCGAGAAGACGAGTCTCAGTCTAGATCTGAGCTCCAAAGGTCTTCAAGCCGGGAGGCAGAAACTAGTGTCCAGGGAGCAAACCCGGTAAGATGACCAAAATCTTATCACTGTATAAACTACTACTCCAGCCTTTCTTGTCCAAATTTCTTTCCCCGTCAATAAATTCCGGTGACACTTACTGCAATAATGGCTCCATTTCTGGTCCCGACTCGATGTCTTTTTCAATCAATTTGTTGGCCTTGCCTGCTTCATGCTGCCCGGAATCTAACTCTGATTGAACCAAGATAAATAAACATATTTTAATAAATATTGTGATACATAGGAAAAACATATTAGAAATCATGTTTTTTTATTTTTTTTTATTTTTTCTTCTCTTCACAATTTCTTTTTTGGTTGTTATATTTTTCAGTTTGTGCAACAATGTGCTTTGTAATTAAATGATTAATATTGAGCTTTTTGGGATACCCATCAAAGTTTGACCAAACGAGAAGATTTGATTATGTAATCTGCAACTTTATTTTGTGAATATCAAATTTTATTATGTAATCTGCAAAATTTATTTTTGTGTATATCGACTCAACCAAAAATTAGTTGGCCATGAACAGTGGAAAATTACATATTTCGTATGAGAATTTGGAGGGAATGGAACTATATAAAGAAGATAAATGCTACGTCTCGTTACGGAATCATTCTGTCGGTATTTGTAACCGTTAGATCATCATGTAATCGTTGGAGATAGTTAATTTAGGTTATGTTTGGTAGACCAGTAAGCTAGCTTATAACTTATTTAATTAGCTTATTTAATTAACTTATAAGCTCTCTATATTTAAATAAATTCTGTTTGCTAGGACGGATTTATTTGATAAACTTCTTTTGGTAACTTTTCAAATAAGTTCGTTGAAATTTTTATTTCAGCTAGCTTATCAGCTAATTTTACCAAATACTTTTATCATATAAACTAGTTTTTTCAGCTATAAGTCATAAGCTATAAGTTATAAGCTCGAAAATGACTAATAAGCTATAAGCTAGCTTATCAGCTAGTGTTACCAAACATAGCACGGTTACAAACTCCAACGAAATGGTTCCGCATCGTAAACATAGCATCTATAAAAATTCGAGATAAGAATACATGTAGTTCCTTAATTAAAAGGAGGTACTAGCAATTTAATTCGGCCTTTGGTAGAAAAAGTATGATGGGATTTGTATAGTATTCACTAGACCCATATATCAGGCTTTAAACCCATAAAAGCCCAACCAGATCCAATTTTGAAAGCAAGCCTCCTTTTTGCATAAGTGATAGGCCATACAAGTGGATTTTCTTCATCTTGTTTACAATTGTTGACACATCATTACAAATTAATTTTATCTGCATTTGCCATTGTACCCATAAGTGAAATAGGATTAACATGTGTTAACTCGGCCAAAGCTACATCATAAATGGCATTTGGTAACATCATGTATAACCCTTTACGAATTGTAAGTTCATGTAGCATATTATGGGAAGACTTTTGATATTGTAAATTTCTAAATTTTTATGTAACATTAAAACTTCACAATAACATTTTTATGTAACACAAGTGCGTACATGTGCGATGCACGGACTGACTTGTTTCTTAAAATCTTTATTTCTTAAACATTATTTTAAATATAACTATTCATATTTAAAACATCTCATTATTGATACTATGCATTATTTTATAATATAGCCATATTAGAGTATATCGGACCAAGTATTGATAGCTCGACCGGGTGCTAAGAAGAGCTATGGCATGCTACAGGGATGATAGTGACTCGAGAGCCTCGACAACAGCTTGTGAACTAACGACTTGGAAGATGGGTTTGACCATGAAACAGGTCGATATAGGGGAAGAGACGAGTAATTCAAGGACCTATAGGATGATCTAAGAATGATTAGCGAGAAGACAAGCTCTCGATATCGACTGTATTTACCTCGCAGCTCGAGGTTTATCTCAATGAAGGCCGTATCTCGACATTCAGTAGGCTCAAGGGATAAGGATGAATTTTAATAGGAAAAGATGTAATCTTAAGCTGACTAGGATCTGCTGTAGACGGAGGCAGCCGACGGCGGCCGGCAAAGGTCATGTGCTGTAGACTCGCCTCGACGAGAGAATTCTCGTGGTACCCTCAAATTTGATAGCCCTCACGGATCTCCAGGAAAATGAATTTAAAGGCCGGATGTTGACAAGAATTCCTACAGCCCGAATGTTTAACCGGCGAAATTGAAGGTCTTCCCAGTGGAATTTTGGCATTAAATTTTAAGGGGAAATCACCTCTATTAGATCTACCCGGTGACATAAAAAAATTTCGATCGGAGCATTTTGGTCGGTAGCCGACGACCGCTGGAGGCGGCGGTGGTGGCGGCCGATGGAGATGAAGGATGTGTTGAACAATTTTTGAAATTTTTAGGCCGGAACTCCGTTTGCAACGGTCAATTTTTTGACTTTTTAAATGGGTCCCACATACGGCGCTTGGTAGTGACATGAATTTCACCCGGACTCCTTCAACTGGGACGACCTCCGTACCTGCAAGAACTCAATGCCAGGAGATAGCGCCAAACCTCCAATGCATAAGTCAGCACTCGCCAGATAAAGAGTGCAATATCAGAGTATCGTAATGAATGTAGAGAGAATGAGTTATTGTGATACCTTAGACCCCTTTTATAGGGAGGGTGTACCTTAGTGCCCAAGTTGGGTTTGACCAGTACATTATGTCATGTGTCCTAAAATGGAGGAGTTGTATATTCATTTCATACCAAATGTATATTTAGTTCATATCAAGTGCATTCAGTTGAATGCATATTTACTTTATACATAATGCATACTACGGTCAACGATCAACGGTGGAGTTAATGTTGGAAGTCAACGGTCAACGAAAAAGTCAACAAGCCTCACTGAAAGTCAACAATCAACGGTGAAATGGTCTAAAATACTTAAATAATTAAAATAAACAAAATAAAGGTTAAACCTTGACCACACATTTTCATCCCTAATTAATGGTCTGGATTGAGTCTTACATACTCACTTTAAGTATGTGGACCAGGGTTGTTCAATTGGTCAAAACTGAACTGAACCGACCGAAATTTTGGTTTACCCAACCTTCAAACCGAAAACCGAACCAGAATTTATTGTTCGGCTAGGTTTTTAACCGAAAATCTATCGGCTGGATCAATTTGATTATCGATTATCCGATAAAATGGAGAAATGACAAAAAAAATCCTTAGTTACAATTTCAGCAAATCTTTCTAATTTTAGCAAATCGCAGCGAATTAATAGAAAAATTAAAATAAAAATATTCAAGAGGGTAAAAGATGGAAGAAATATATTGATCTCTGCCTTGAGAGCTTGAATTGGTTCAATCGAGTGCAGCCCGTAGAAGGGTATTTGAGTGGCAATCTTAATTGTGAATACGAGCTTCGTCGAGTGCTGAGTGGAGTGCCAGCAGAAGCGCGGCGACGGTTTGGGGTTTAAGAGCACCGATCGCGACGACGATTTGGGGCTTCAGAGCATCGAGCGCGGCGGTCGGAGAATTGGAGGATGATGTTATGGTTTACAAGATTTCGACTTTTCGTTTAGAGTTACAATCTCTGGTCTAGACTTTGTGGAGAGATGACGAGCTGATGAGGAGAGGATATGATGACAAGATGATAAGAAAAAAAAATATGAATGGGCTTATACACTAATAATTGATAATGTACGGGGCTACCGCGATTTAACTGGAAGCAATTTTTAAAGGGCCAGGGGTTATTTCCTCGAGGAATAGTCAGGCACAAGCCTAGGACCTCGGTATAAAAGAAAAAAAATAAAAATAACAATAATAATAATAATAATTGGTAATGTAGGTAAGAGTTGAGTGGTTCTTTTTTTGTTCAATACTTTTTAATATATTGGGCCTAAAAAGTAAAAACATGGGCTTGATAATATATGACTTTTTTTAATATGTATAGTATCGGTTTTCGATTCGGTTCGGTTAACCAAGCATTTATATTCAAACCGAACTGAAAATCAAAATTTTAAAAAAATGCAAACCGAACCAAAAATTCGATTTCAGTTTCGGTCGGTTAACCAAATTTTGTGTACCCGTAATGTGAACTCATTGAAATCACTCCCTATATATATAAATATAATTTTAAAAAAGTTATTAGTATTCAACAACATTAGTCATTATTGATTTATTTCTCCAAACAAGGCCGTTTTTTTCTCCAACAGCACACACATCTTGAATCCAGAAACTAAATCATTAGTACACGGTGAGATAAGAATTAAAGATTGAGAGGTGTCCCTAAATATTTCCCAGAAATTATGAAAAAAAATCTGTGAGCAAACTCAGAGTTCAGAAACCTCCACGTGTCATCCAACTAGTGGTTCATAATAAGATATGGTGATAGACAAACAACTTCAGATTTCCATACCATTTTTCAACAAAATAAAAGAGGAACCTTTTTTTTCCTCTTACACTGATCACCACCACCTTCACCTCGCCGGTGATCCGAACCCGGAAATCCACGGCCGCCACAAACCCCATGGACGTCTCACTCTCCTCCGCCATAACCTGCATAACCAGAAAATCACCCCATTGCTCGATCCTCTGTACATACAAAATGACGAAAATGCCCTTCCCTCTCATCTCTATTCTCTTCTTGAACCTCAACTCGGGCCCTGTAAAAGCAGACTCCTCCGCCTGCTCATCCCCTGTTCTTGAACCCGTCCAAAATGCTCCCCTCATCGACCAGCTGGCCGTAAATCTCCAAAAATTCCCGACAGACGACGGCTTTTCCGACGATAACAAGGATTGGAACTCTCGAATAATCGGGCTTTTCAAGGATCCTCAGACGGAGAGCCTCGGCTACGAAACCTATCAGAAATCAAAACAAAAACCGGGTTTCAAACCTCTGAGACGAACTCTGAAGCTCGTGTCCAGGTACTTGATCCGTTCCAAGAATTGGAGCGCGTTGTTTTCCTTCTGTGAGGATTTGAAAATTTTTCAGGTTCTGCCTGATAGACCCACTTGCTGTAGACTGATTATCGGCCCGTGTGTTAAAGCTAGGAAATTTAAACTCGTCGATAGCTTTCTCGATGTTTTCTTGGCAAACGACAAAGAAACAGCCGTCCTGGCCTTCGATTCCGCCATGAAAGGGTACAATCAGCTGCATATGTACAGCAGCACTTGTGCTTTGCACAAGAGGATGATATCGGGCGGGCTTGATTTTGGCCCAGCGTGTTACTGTCATGTGATGGAGGCTCACATGAAGATGGGGCACTTCGAAAAGGCATGCTCGGTTTTTCAAGAATTCGAAAATAGAAAATTTGTCGACACAATTGGTGACGAAAAGCTTTTGCCGGTCTACTCCCGTATTTATTGGATCCTATGCGAATCGTTGGGGAAATTGGGTCGGGCCTACGAGGCCCTCGAGCATTTTCGAGAAATGTCGAGAACAGGAATTCCCGAAAACAATTTGATTTATTCGTCCTTGATAAGCTCTTTCGCAAGTGCCGGGGAGGTCAAGATGGCCGAGGAGCTCATGCTCGAGGCCGAGAGCAAGAACATGTTGAAAGATCCTTCCCTCTTTTTAAAGCTCATCTTGAGGTACATCGATGAAGGCCTTATGGAGAAAACGCTCGACAGTGTCGAATTAATGAAGCGCGTGAACATACGTGTCTCGGATTGCATATTCTGCGCTATCGTAAACGGATTTTCCAAAAAACGCGGGCTTCGAGCCGGAGTACGAGTATTCGAGGACCTCATCTCACGTGGGTGCAACCCGGGCCAAGTGACTTACGCGTCGGTCCTCAACATGTACCTTCGGCTTGGGTTGTACTCCAAGGGCGAAAAAGTCTTTTCGGAAATGGAGCGAAAGGGCTACCACAATTGTGTGGTGGCGTACTCGAGCCTGGTGGCTGCATATTGCAAGGCAGGAAAGGTTCGGGAAGCGATGCGGCTTGTGGCGAAGATGAAGCAGAGAGGGATCGAGCCGAATGTGTGGATTTACAACTCGATCCTCGATATGAATGGAAAGGCCATGAACTTGAGG